TATATATTTACTAAGGTGCAAAAAACCGCGAATTTTTATTACAACACAACGATTGGCAAAATGCAATATAGGTTTCAAGTTATTTGTTGTGTTTATTATTAGCTGAAACTTTGCACACTTCTTGAGTGACATAACTGACATGAACTGAGGATCCAACACATTCATCTGAGCTCACGCTGACCTTGACCTTGGTGAACAAACTTAGAAACGCATATAGCCTTCACGAGCAGCGATTACAGTGAGGCATCTTCTGTTCATAGAATTAATCAAACGGTTGATCTGGCCATTTTGGATGCCATCGAAGATCTGGATGATGGCCGCTGTCAACTGGGCTGCTGTTCGAGGCCGTGGCTGCATCTGGTTTAGCGGTCTTTGAATTACGTCCCACAAATGTTCAATAGGGTTCAAGTTAGGTGAACAAGGTGGGTGTATCAATAAATTGATATTTTTCTGCGCCAAGAAGTTCTGGGTAGCACTTGCGGTATGTGGTCGTGCGTTGTCTTGTTGATACAGGAAGTTAGAATGCCTCAGTAGAAAGGGCACCTCATGAGGTGCTAAGACTTGTGCAATGTAGCGCTGAGCGGTGACGCCGTTTCCACGTCCTGGATCAATGTTCTGGAAGATAACAGGTCCCACTCTATGATTCAACGCCATGGCTCCCCATATCACCACGCTCTCGCCTCCCCAGAGGTCAAGCTCCAGAATGTTGTTTTCGTCGTAGCGAGTCGTGTCTCTACGCCACACACGGACACGGCCATTCGCTGGATCGACGCCGAACCTGTTTTCATCACTAAAGAGGACTGTCCTCCACTGTGCGTTCGCCAGTTGACATGCGCCTGTGCCCACTGTAGCCGTTACTGTGGATGCCTTGGTGTTAGGACAGCTCTCTGGTAAGGACACCTGCAGGGAAGACCAGCAGTCACTAACCTCCGTGACACAGTCCAGCGGGTAAGTTGGCTTCCAGTTGTTCCCATGGTTGTTCTGGCAGTCTCTGCAGCCGGCAGAAACGGATCGCGGCGGCGTGCCGACGAATGATGACACTATCATGTGTCGGAGTTATCACCCTTGTTCGTGCACTTCTTGGTCGATCTGCTGTGGTCGCTGTCGCTTGTAATCGGTTCCGAAGGTGATAAATGGTGCTTAGGTGGACACCAAAAACCTGGGACACCTGTTCCACCGACTCACCATCCGCCAGTCGTCCGACAGCTCTTTCTCTGTTTTCCCTTGATAACCTTGGCATGTGTGTAGCTCGTCTATTTCGATATGAATGCAACTTATCGAGGCGCGGATTTTATAGGCATACGGCCAGGACTGAGTGAGCATACACTCATCACTCACAACAGGTTGCAAGTGTGTCCCAGTGGTGAGTGATGACTCGTGAGTTGTGTATTGCTTACGCTGCCAATGAAATCTTTGTGACGCTCAAAAATGCCCAATCAAGACGCTCGAGGCAAGTGTTGAGTGACATGAGTTCATATCACACAACTATGAACTCAGCATTGGGCGATTACAACAACATAAAAATTCGCGGGTTTTTTTTCATCTCTCTTTATATGTGTAAGTGTGTGTCTGTTTGTGTGTAAGTGTGTGTGTGTGCGTGTGCGTGCGTGTAAAATAGATCTATTTGTAGAGAGAGATTGAGGATGTGCATATATATAATATATGTTTATATGTTT